GAGGCTTGGAAAAGGACAGCACGCTTTAGAAGCCAAGCCCTTCATTTGGAAAGCTTTGGCTTCCAAAGCGACGGGACTCCGAAACCGCAGATTCAGAGGGCCTCAGAAACCATGCCTTCCCTAATAAGAATTCCTTATTCCCGGAGCCGAGAATCAATCCATCCTGAGTACTAACAAAAGCCGTTCTTCTAAATTATAAAACCCCCTCAATTATAAAGAGACTGGCACGCCGTGACGGCGCGTGTTTTCGAGGAATCCCGCGTTTTTCCTCGAGTTGTTTACTCTAGAAATGTCTTGATCATACTTCCCAGCAAGCAGCGTCACAACGTCTTAAGGTAGTGTTGCCCTCAACAGCTGAGCTGACGCCCGCACAAGCAGCACGCTGAGGATCTGACCTTAGCAAAAAAATACTTCTCTCTTGTTATAATCTTAGCTTGCCAAGGGAGCTGAGACAGCAACTGACAGGTTACACATATCTCTCAGCTCGTTCGGACACTCGCTCTTCTTCTTCTTTGTTCATGGCTGGGACATGTCGCAACGACAGCACTGTCCACTAGAAATAAAACTTTGTACACGTATGTTGGGCTTCTTTCTTCGATGAAGCATACTAGCAGTTTATCGCATAGAGCTTCCTACTTCGAGGACGCTGGACGCGTCGCCGTGCAGGCTGCTGGCCTCCGCAAGCATACCTTTGCAGCTGGACGACGGAAAACTTTGGCTGAGGATGACATGCTGCAATTGTACGGCTGAGACTGACGGCGCTTGCGGCCTGAGCCGAAGGGGCTGAGGTGACTCACGCTGTTCTTGCGGATCAACTCGTTGTGCTTCTGCACATAGAGCAGAACATAGAAGAAGCTCGTTTGCGGCGACATGGCATTAAATGTTCTGGCATAATTGCGAAACGAAGCGAAGGTCTGCTCAGCCACAGAGGTATTCACATCTCGCAATCTCTTGTCCAACTTCTTGTGCACCAAGGGTGAGCACGGACAATTTGTACCATGACCATGTGCGTGGAACTTATCGACGCAGAAATACTTAACGTCCTGGAGCATATCCGACTTTCGCACTGCCTGCAAAGCGCAGCACATGCGGTCATAGATGATGCAATCCAAGGCAGGAAGAAGTTCGGCCGCATCTTGGAGCATCCCAACTGCCAGGTCATTGTTCTCCGGGTGGATCATCTCCTGCACGCCAACGATGAGTCCGGACTCTGGATGAACAGCCAAAAACCATCCATTTGTGCGCTTTTTGACTGTGCCATCCTTCCTCGGCCGTCCGCCATGGGCAGGAGTTGCAGTGGAACACCTGGATGAAACCTTTTCATGGCCATCGATCACGATCTCGTACATAGACTTAGCCTCCTTGGCAGTAATCACATTGAATTGGAACCACTTGTGATATTCCTGCACGAAGTCGTCGGCAAGCGGCTTCTCCAAGCAAATGGACATACACCTGTTCTCTGTGTCCTTGTCCGAGAAGTCGCACCACATCATGATGTCGCTGACCTGTAGGACATTGAGATCCAACTGCGCAATAGAGTATTCCAGCTGCCATCGAGCATGCTCATTGTCGTCTTTCCACATGACTTCCTTTTGCGCAAAGTTGATAGCATGGACACTGATATGTCCACGAAACTGCAGCATGCCATGATAGTCCAGGAAAGATCGAGTGAAGACCGTCTTGGGATTAACGAAAACATATTCCAGATCACTTGCACGGGAGCTGTTGATCTTGTTGCCGTCCACCCAGCGGTAATTGTAGTGATGCAACAACTACGATTAGAGCATTTCTTTGTCCAATGTTCCACATGCAGGATGTACCCCATCGAGTCCATAGAGGCGTGCTTCGATAACAAGCTCTTTTCGAATGGATGCACCGCATTCCAAGCACGTCTGCAGGGGTGAGGATAGCACCAGTCTCTCTGGACACTGTCCACCCGCTTTCATTGTGATCGAGGCTTGCGTTTGCAAGGTCCTGATCCACGAAGGTCATAGACTGCGTGGTGATCCAGAGCAACATCGTGGGCAAGCGTCTGAAGACGAAACCAAGACAAGTTCTCCATGGAGGACACGATCTGAGACAGGATCCGGAAGTTGGTGTGCAAATGACGCCCGTTAGATTCTGAATCCACGACACATACTGTCGAGTCGCCTAGGAATCGGATGCCACTCCAATGCCCACCACCTGGAGCTGCTTGATGGACAATCAGACTCCCGTTGAGGGTATTCACCTCGCTCAAAACCACTTCTTCCATGTAGATCATGCGGTGTGCGTCTTGTGGCGCACGCTGCGAACTGTACCTCATGTGCTCGTTGAATTCCCTAGCGGAGATATCACCGTCATCTTTGGTAACCTCCAAAAGGTCGGTGTCACAGTGAGGCTGGAGCACAGCAATCACATCGTGTAAGCAAGATGACGTTGGCCCTTCCCAGCTAGCCCGATGGATGCTCCAAAGCCCAGGATCCTTGCGAGTCAACAACCTTGCTATGGTTGACAGCTCCGTGCTGGAAGGTTCGTATGTAGGAACGTGAATATACATGGATAAAAGCGCCAGGCATCGCCAACGCTGAAGTTGAGGTCGCGACCTGAAACAGCAGTATGCGGAATTACAGCAGCTTGCATATAAGGATAATTAGGGCCTGGGGGGGTGGGGGGAGGCAAAAAAAAATCTGCTTACATACAGGAGGGCTTTTTTGTTTTTTTTTGCCCCCCCCCCCGCCCTTCTAGCTACACCTCAGAATCCGTATGTTAAATATATCCCATCACAACTTCTCCTAGCAACAAAGCACACAGCTCACATGATAAAAACTTTCCTACGAAAGACATGTCTACAAGCATGCAGTAGAGAACTACATTGTCAACATCCGAAACCTACCGAAACCTACCCAAATCTATGACTCGAAAATACACGCCGCCAGGGCGTACCATACTGATTGTAAACCCCCTTCCCGGGGCGGGCCGTTTGGCGGTGCCTTTAAACGCCTGGAAAAGGACAGCAAGCTTTAGAAGCCAAGCCCTTCATTGGGCAAGCTTTGGATTCAAAAGGACAGCAGCCAAATCTTTCATTGGGAAAGCTTTGGATTCAAAAGGACAGCAAGCTGTAGAAGCAGAGGTGTTGATTGGAATAACCTAGCTTGAGCAGCCGTGCCCTTGCTTGCGAAAGCTTCGGCTTTCAAGGGAGGAGGGAGGGGAGAGCAGGATCATTGTTCATTGCTGAGATCGGACATACTTTACCAAATGTGCCTTGTCCAACTGTACTACCGTGCTACGACTGTACTACTGTACTACTTTACTACTACTATACTAGTTACTACTGTACTACTATTCTACTACTACTACTACTACTACTACTACTACTACTACTGCTACTGTGCTCCTACTGTACTACTACTGTACTACTACTGTACTACTACTGTACTACTACTGTACCACTACTGTACTATTGTGATACTGTACTACTACTGTACTACTACTGTACCACTACTGTACTATTGTGATACTGTACTA